TACTTAGGACCATTATCTGAAAATTCAGTTCTTTGCATTATTCTGGCTACCACAGAAGAAATTCCCTCTTCTTCATGTTTTACTTTTAACTGGCCTTTCTTCTCTTGTGGGGAGCTTTGGTGATATAGTACCTAAGGCATTTGACTGCTAAGCAGAAGGCTGGCGGTTCAAACCCACCAGCCACTCCTCAGAAGGAAGGTTGAACAATCTACTTCCAAAGAGATACTGTTTCGGAAACCCAAGAAGCGGTTGCTAGGAGTTGAATCAACTCAACGACAGTTAGTTTGATTGTTTTTTGTTTTGTTTTGTTTTCTTGTTGTGATTTTGTGTGGTTTTGTTTTGTTGAACTTGGGCTATTTTGTTATCTTTTGGTTTTTACTTTAAATTACGTATTCTGGTTGTTGTGTGGAGAAATTTTCTATTTGGTAGTACAGCAAACAAGCACCCAGGCTGCCAACTGAAAGGCCAGGGCCTGTGCCCAGCAGCTATTCTAGGCTAGCTCTCAGCCCCACAGGGTCACTGAGTCAGAACCAATCCCTTGGCCACAGGCTTGTTATCTTTTTCTGAGAACCACTAGAGGGCACTCTTACCTTAGGTTTTTGGGTTTTTCGTTTTCTTTCCCATTACCAATTGAGGAGTTCTGGACGCTTGATTTCTTGAATTCAGTACCCACCCTTACGAAGAGGGGCTTATTTGGCTGCAGATACTGACATATAAGTGTTGGGGCTCGACCTTCCTGTGGCAGTGATGGGGGACTCACTCTGTCTTTCACAGGTGCTCCTGCACAGGCTCACCCCCAGTGTCCTGCTGTGGGCTATTTCCCTCTGTGCCACCCTGTTTGTCTGAAGTATTCCCCTCTCCCTGCTGTGTTCTTCCTGCTCCTAGTGCCCTTCAGTCTTGAACCTCAGTAAAATTCGGCAGTACTCTCTTGCAGCTTCACAGTCGTCCTTCACCTGCTCCTAATTGTGCAGCCCACAAACTGCCATGGCCACTTTGCTCAAACTTAAAAAAAAAAAAAAAAATGGGCTACAACATCCTCAGATTAGTTCCTTTTTGGGGTGTTACCCATCCTTGTTCCAAAATGGCTGTGATAAACAAGTGTTCCTGTGTTAACAAATTGGTTCTTCCAATTTCTGTGCCATCCCTGCTCCTTCTCTTCCCCTCTTCTGAGCTCATCTTGACTCTCCAACATCTCTCCTGCCATGTAGAGTTCTGAGATTTCAGTTTTAGTCTGTGCTTGTTATTCATTGTTCAGTGGGTTAGTTGTGGGGGAATGAATAAGAGCCTCCACTCACTTTGCCATCTTGCTCTTTCTCCACAGTTAGTCTTTTCTGATAGGTCCAAAGTCAAGGAGCTTAAGTTTCACATCCTCATGTCTAAGGAGCATTCTGGTTGTATTTCTTCTGACTGATTTGTTTGTTCTCTGGCAGCCCAGGATACTTTCAGTATTCTTTACCAACACCACAAGTTGAATACTCAATTCTTTTGTCTTCTTTTTTCATTGTCAAGCTTTCACATGCATATGAGGCAATTGAAAAGATCATGACTTGGGTTAGGTACACCTAGTCATCAGTGACATCTTTACTTTTTTAAAAGCTTAAAGAAGTCTTGTGCCAGAGATTTGCCTAAAGCAGTATGATGTTTGATATCCTGAATGCTGCTTCCATAGGCATTGTTGACCCAAGTTGAATGATACTGTTCACAACTTCAGTTTGTTCTCCATTCATCATGATGTTTATCCATTTGTGAAGATTTTTATTGTCTTCACTTTCAGGTGAAAGTACTGAAAGCTATAGACTTCATTCATCATCAATAACTGCATTATGTCATCTTCATTTTATGCAGGCAAGGTTATGTCATCTGCATAGTGCAGGTTATTAATAAGTCTTCCTCCAGACATCTAGCTTTTTGTATTATTTTTTTAGCATGTGGATTGAATAAGTAAAGTGAAAGGATAGAACCATGCCATATCCTTTTCCAGTTTGGAACCAGGTAGTATTGCCTTGTTCTGTTAGAATGACTGTCCCTTGATCCATAATACAGGTTCCCCATGAGCACAATTAAGTGGTCTGGAATTCCCATTCTTTGTAATGGTACCCATAATTTGTTATTACCCACAGAGTCAAATGCCTTTGCATAGGTGACAAAACACAGATAAATATCTTTTCATTATTCTCTTCTTTCAGCTAAGATCCATAGCCATGATATCCCTCCTCCATCCTATTCTGAATCTGGCTTGAACTTCTGGAAGTTCCCTGTGGCTATTTTTGAATAATTGGCAGCAAAATTTTACTAGCATGATGTTAGTGTTCAGTAATTTCATCATTCCATTTGATCACCTTTCTTAGGAATGGTATGAATATGGATCTCTTCTAGTCATTTGGCCAAGTGGCTGTCTTCCACATTTGTTAGCTTAGCTCGTCCAGCATCTCAGTAGATATTTTATTAATTCCTGGAGCCTTGTTTTTCATCAGTGCCTTCAGTGCAGCTTGAACTTCTTCCTTTTTAAAAAGTACCAGTACTTTTTAAAAGAACCTTTTTAAAAAGAACCGCAGTACCAGTGGTTCTTGATCATGTGCTGCCTCTTGAGATGGTTGAATGTTAACCAGTGGCTAACTGGTTTGGTACAGTGACTATGTAGTCCTTCCATCTTCTAATGATGGTGTCTGCATCATTCAATTTTTTTGCCCATAGAATCCTTCAGCCATGCAACTTGAGGCTTAAATTTTCTCAGTTCTTTCAGCTTGAGAAATGTCTTTCCCTGCTGGATTTCTAGCTCCAGGTCTTTACACATTTCATCATAATAGTTTACCTTGTCATCTGAAGCCGAAATCTTCTTTTTCAGCTCTTACTTAGCATTTCTTCCATTCACTTCTGCTACTCTGCACTTAAGAGCAAGTTTCAGAGTCAGAGCAAGTTTCTGACATCTGTTTTGGTCTTTTCCCTCTTTATTATCTTTTGAATGACCTTTTGCTTTCTTCATGTATGATGTTCTTAATGTCTTCCCACAACTCTTCTGTCCAGTAGTCATTAGTGTTCAGTGCAGGGGGGGTAGAAGATAAGATGTCTTGAAGTGTATGTTGTTTTGTTTTGAGTACAGATCCTCTAATTGAAATGCCAGAATCTTTACCATCTGAACTCTGCACATTTTGCACTATTTCTAATGCAATAGATTTTGTGTCTTGGCCAGTAAATCTAGTTCTACACCTATTTCATTTGGAACAATAAGTTACTTTAAAAAAAAAATGGGTTCAATGTCTTTTCATTTCTCTCTAAGGAGACACTTAGTTTCTTGTTGGATTCAATTAAAATAGCTGTGTAGTTTTAATTCAAGTTTAAAATAAATGTTTCTGCCTGAATTGCTTAGGAAACTCTTCCTATCTGATATTATTGAATCAGGATATGTGTGCTGGGGGATCCCCAAGACCACCGACATATTCAGTTATTTGCTAGGAAGAATCACAGGACTTAACATAAAGGTGTACTCAACAGCTACGGTTTAGTACAGCAAAAGGCTACACAACAGGATCAGGAAGAGAAAAAGACACAGGCAGAGTCTGGAGAAAACCATGAACATGCTCTCTCTCTTGTGAGGGGACACACCAAACATGTTCCTTTCTTTAGCAGTGAAAATATAGTAACATGTACATGTTTCTGTCCAGGGAAGCTCATTAGAGACTCACTGCCCAAGGTTTTTATTGGTAACTGGTCACATAGGCTTCTGCCTAGCAACTATTGGAATTTAGAATCTCTGATGGAAATTAGGAATTAGCACAAATCACATTGTTTGAACAGGTAGTCAGGGCATGTTCAGCCGTCCTTACTGGTTAGGAAATGATTCAAAACCAAGTTCTTAGATGCCAACCAAGGGCTAACCTTATAAGGATAGCAGCCTCAGACCTGCCTTGTTAATTCTTGAACAGTTTCAACATCAGTTTTCACTCATAAAAGGAATGTTGAGCTATCCATGTTAGTTTTGTAATTGAATTGTTCTTGAACAGCAAATGTCTTACACATGTAAGATTTTTAGCAGAAATTATCATTTTAACATATCTGAATGGTCTGCTTAAAAGTTTTGTTTAAAAGTTTAATGTCAGTTATAAAACTGATAGGAACTTTAATAAAAATTTATAAAAAAGAAAATATTATCTAGTTTGTTTCCTAGAGCTATATATATATTTTTTTTAATTACTCGTTATCTTCAGCTCTATTAACCTTATTACTTGACCTGCATCTGTTACTCTTGCAACAGAGGCACAGTAGTATTCAAACTTCAGTGTGAGAATAGCTCTATTCCTCTCTTCCATGAGTTAAACTATGCACATTTAGTGTTTAAGAAAAGGGTACTTTGATCCGCTCAACACTGAGCTAATGCCTTATCTAAGACTATTATTAATTAAGGAATTTCCTTTACCTTGCTAATTAAGTTATTGAGACCTTTTCATTGTAATTTTTATGAAAATGTTTATAAATATCTGACAACTAAAATTACTTTTTACAAACTATGTTAGCCTTCTCTATTACACAAAATAACAGTAGCGTCTGCCCTTGAAGGTTCTCCAGTTTTAAGATTAGCATCTATACTCTTTCTCTAATTTTACTTTATGTTCTTTTGGCAGCAGTAGGTTTGACCTTGAATTATTCATTTTAAGCTTTTTATCTCAATTTTTACATATATGATTATTGCTGTAAAATCTTATAGTAGACTCAGATCCAAATAACAAACTATATTTGACAAAATTACTAAAAGATTAGTACTTGAGCTTTTCATTTGTGACTATGACTGAAAATAGTTTTAATATTGTGTTAGAGAATTTGGATAGCTGTAGGTTTTGGTTGTAGAATTTTGGAGGGTAGAACTTTTTAAATAAAAGAAAAACTTTAATCATACTGTTTAACAAAATGTATACTATGTTAAGACAGCATATCAGTTCGAAGTAGCATTTCCTCCTTGGTAATCATTTTCTGAGTACTTAACGGAGCACTTTCCATTTCTCTAGGTGTGATGGGAGCAGTTGTGGCTCCTCTGGCAATACTAGGGGGACCTCTTCTCATCAGAGCTGTATGGTACACAGCCGGCATCGTCGGGGGCCTCTCTGCAGTGGCCATGTGTGCTCCCAGTGAGAAATTTCTGAACATGGGTGCACCCCTGGGAGTGGGCCTTGGTCTTGTCTTTGTGTCCTCACTGGGTAAGCCACTGTGCTTTGACACTCAATTCTTAGTTCATAATGTCCTAAAATTATCTAAAATACTCAGTTATCCTGATGAAGAAGATTTATTAAGTCCTTTTTAAAGATTGTTTCAAAGATACATGCCAACTTGACTGGATTTTATTATTTGGCATCAAATAAAAATCTTGGTAACATTGTAAATCATTATTAATGGGTTTTCCAAATATATCTAAAACAGATAGGTAGATGGAGAACATGAGAATTGCTCTGATTCAAGAACATTCTTGTAATGTGGGCAAGTAGCCACTAGAGAATGCATATTGTGGGCTTTGAACTCTAAATTACATATTAGATAGTACATAGATTCAGTTACATGTTTTCTTTCTTGCACATTATACCAGCTACATACTTTTTTTTTTTATTTTTATTATTTTCATTGTGATTTGGGTGAAAGTTTACAAGTAAATTCACTTTCCATACAGCAGTTCACATACACTTTGTCTCAGGACATTGACTACAATTTACCCCAATGCAACAGCTCCTCTCCCACATCTCCCAATAGTTACCTCTTCCCTGTGTCTATCCCTCCATGTGCTCCTGCCCCCTGAGCTGTCTCCATGTGCATAAACAGCCCTTCTTTCTCCCACCAGATCCATACTTTTTAAGTATTGGCAGCTTATAAGTCCAATTATAGAAAAGTACTTTTGAAAGAAAAAAATAATAATTTTTCATATTTTGATTTCAGGATCTATGTTTCTACCACCTACCACTGTGGCCGGTGCCACTCTGTACTCAGTAGCCATGTATGGTGGATTAGTTCTTTTCAGCATGTTCCTTCTGTATGATACCCAAAAAGTAATCAAGCGTGCAGAAATGACACCAACATACGGAGTTCAAAAATATGATCCCATCAACTCGTAAGTATTCTGTAATGTCCTCTTTCACTCTTTCAAGTAAAGCATTTGTGTTATTTTGACCTGTCTTGTTTTATAACTTTGTGGGCTCTTACTATTTTTCTTCTGTTGCAGTTTTGTCTGTTCTTTTAGTACATTATGTATCCAGAGAACTTTTGATTATATTGCAACTAAGTGTCATACCCATTCAGTTAGTTCACAGTATCTTACGTATTTTTGTTAACTGGCCTTATGGTGCAGCAAAAGGCTCTTGTTGGTCAGTTAAACTTCTGAGTATGAAGAATCCATTTTTCTTCACCTTTTGCTGACACTATTCACTAAACTCACTGCTGTCAAGTTGTTTCCAACTCATAACGACCCCTCCTTGGGTTTCCCAGGCTGTATCTCTACAGAAGTAGATTGCCCAACCCTCCTTTCAAGGAGTGGCTGGTAGGTTTGAACTGCCACTCTTCTGGTTAACAGTCAAGTGCCTTAGGCACTACGCCACCAGAGCTCCTTTGCTGACACTAATGCTATGCAATAATGCTGCTTTCCTTTCTTGGATTCTGCCAAAGTAGGTTATTTTATTTACATATTTGTCTTGACTTTTCATCACGTCTGTCACGTTTTAAAAAGTGATTTTTTCTTTGTCTAAAAATAAAATTTAATGTAATAGTTTTTTAAAAATGTTATAAAGCTTACAGGTTTATAGTAGTTTTCTCTGGGGAGCAAGGGATATTTTATATTTAAGAATGCCAGACTTGTGTCTGACAACTTTTTATAAAGGTGTTTCTTGGTTTTGTTTTGATTATTTCATTGTCTATCACCCAGTTTTCGTTGCAAAATGCTAAACTTGTAGTAGAAAGTCAGAGGGTAGAGTTAGGATTTAAAACACTGGCCATTAACATTTAAAAGATAGTCTAACACAAGGGAAAGGAACCTTGACTATATTGTAGTTTGGGGCAATTAAGCATCTTATTTTTAATTTCCGTTTTATATATCTATGACAATTAATGGGTGGTGTTTTTTCTGAATTAAGAAATAGTTTATCATCTTTATTAGAATTGCATCATACATAATGAGCATAACTTTCTTTTCTAGGATGTTGGCAATCTACATGGATACATTAAATATATTTATGCGAGTTGCCACTATGCTCGCAACTGGAAGCAACAGAAAGAAATGAAGCTTCTGGCATCTCTTATACATCAGATATCTTACTTGTTTCATTGGGGCAGATACCATTAAATAGTTTGTATAAGCAGCTTTTGTTGAAGTTTAGAAGACAAGAAGATGCCAACATTTTTCAGTGTTCCAGTATAATGTGATGCTTCAGTTCTGCTTTTTCTTCTGGGGGATAAATTCTGTTGCAGATAAGCACAAACATTTCCAGTTCTCATGCTTGAGTGATTGTAAAATGTTTTAACAAATATTAGAAGTAAGGTTTTATTATAAGAATTGAAGTATTTTACCTACTTTTAAGTTTATTTAGTTAAGTAAAAATTAGCAGACCTTTGTTTTACCTCCATATGCTTGGGATGCAGAATACTGTAAATAATGACTTAAGTGACACAGAGGTTTGGTAAAGGCAACAGAAGCAAGGAATCAACTACAGCTACAGTCTCTTTTTGAATACTTAGGACTGAGTCAGTGAGAGTCATTTGGCTGTTTGGAAATAAACAAGTGATCACTGTTGTACATTCTTCTGGTACATTTAGCAGAAGCACTGAGTATGAGACACAGACTCAGGTGATTCACTCTCCTGCTGTTTCTTCTCAGTGCTCTGTTACAATGTAGATACCATGTTGGGACTCATTCTTTTTACAGCCCATAATGTTAATCATATGGAGAATCCCTACTATATATGTACGACTTTTGCTTTTGAATCTTCTAGAATAAAATATTCTTAAAATTATCCTCAAGATGAAATTTCAAAGCACGAAATCTGTTGCATTTTGAAGTATACAAACAATATGTTCATAATTGCAACAGGCTTTTTTGCACATTTAATGAAATGTGTAAATAGCATAAGCACTTGTCTTTCTCATTTCTTCAAGTTTTGAACCCTTTATCACAAAAGCCTCTTTGTGGCTTAAACTTGACACCATGGAGACAGTTTTTCTCCTCAGACTGACTATATTGGATTTCTACCTTCCCTCACACTAAGCACTACAAAACAAGGCAGATCTAGTTCTGTCTTTATGAAATAAATCAATATAAAGTGTAATGGGGAGAGTACTTCATTAGAATTTGTCTTAACAGAATTTTCTTCTTTTATCCAGACCATTACTTAGCTTTGTGACATAATGTAAAATTTCATGGTACAAAAAAGTTATTTTTGGAAGTCTTTAAAGAATAAGTCTACATGATTATGAGATGATAGCTATTTTTAACAAATACTTATTCTAGTAGTTCAAAAATAACTATTCTAACCATCTCAAAGTACTGTTAAAATGTAATCATGTATTAATTTAAAAGAATAACACAGTATTTTATTGCTGTATGAACAGTTTGAAATTTGTGGGACATTTTCCTCAGCAAGAGGAGCCCAGGAGCCTGCTCACAGAGACTTAAATAGCTTTTGCTTAAAGAATATATGTTTCCATGGTGATGAAATAATTCTACTGAGAACTACTAAGTTAACATTAAAAAGTAACTTTCCAGAAGATTTGGCCCTCTACCCTGCTGTGGTCCTGTAACCTCTAGAAATTTAAATTAATTAAGTTCTTGGATAAGAAAAGACTTATTGAAATAAAAGTAAAATATTTTTAATACAAATTTGATTCCCTAGTACAGATATGTATCACTTAATATCTACAATACGTTCTGTGAAGTGGGGCGTTACGTGATTTGAACGTTGTATGGACACATATTAAAACCTTATGGGAACCTACTTCCAGTTGTCCTCATTGCCTCTGCTGGAGCTGCTAGAGGTGCTGAGGGAGGCCAGAGGAAGTGGAGCCAGTAGCAGGAGCAAGAAGGAAGTGAACAGGAGGGAACTGACTGAGTATACTTTGCCTGACGCTGTTCCACCTGCCTGCCAGACAAACCTCTAGAGCCTGTGCCCAGAGCCATATCCTCTGTATCCCACCCATGGTCCATGCTGCAAGAATCTAGGTTTTGGGGTAGAGAGAAATAATAAAAAGAGAACTGTGTTTCCTTTAAAAAAAAAAAAATTATGGGAACATGGACATACATGCAATCAGATGTCTCACCAGACATTAAATGATGCATCCCTGCACATAGGATGCTCATATCTGAAATAATGTAAGTTCTAGCCAGGTGGTGATATGTTTGTAAGTAACCTTGGGCAAGTTACTTAACTTTTGTGCCCAGTTTCCTCTGTAAAATGGAGATAATAACAGCACCTATCTCATACATTAAATATGCCAGCACTTGGTAAACACTGTATAAGTTGTAGCTGCTGTTCTTGCTTTTTTATTTCTTCCCTAAATAAAATGTAAATTACAAACTTCTGTTTCCTATCTTTACCATACTATTCTTTTAAAGTATCAGTGTGATCTTAAAGGGCCTATTGTTTTTAGTAGCTTTTTAGAACCCACAGTTAATGTCCTTGTTTTTGAGTGGTAGCATTCATGCACAGTATAATTGCAATATTGGGTATCAGGCAGAAATTTATTTAGAAAGTCAAGATTTTTTTTCTGATTTAATGACTTATACCCACTGCTGTCAGGTTGATTCCTACTTACAGTGACACTATAGGACAGAATAGAGCTGCCCCATAGGGTTTCCAAGGCTATAAATCAGATTGCCACAGCTTTTACCAGTGGGGAGGCTGGTGGGTTCCCACTGTCAACCTTAACCACTGTGCTTCTTTATTTAATTAATTAGTGCAAAAGGGACATGGGATGGCATCTGCTGACCTCCTCCAGCCTCAAGAGGGGGAGACAGAATCACCAGCAGCAGCCCAAGGCTTATTCTTATGTGGCCAGACTTAACCTTTTTGCTCCCACACTTAACCTTTTTACCAACTCTGACACCAACTGACCCTGCCATGGCACATTCTACTTCTCTGCTGGGTTTGATAATTTATTGGAATGGATACACACAACTTACAATACTCAAGATTATGGGGTTTATTAGGGAAGTAGCCAGGTTACAATTAAGGTTCAGGAATGCTTATGATGTAATTCTTAAGTGAGGACAGCCTTCCCTCAGCTATGCCCTCAGGCATGCCTCTCTCTAGCCCTTGGCCTCTTGGCCTGGCTTCTGCCCTTCTTGGCCAACTGTTCCAGAGCTCTTTTAACACTGCTGATAGGAGCACCCCACTGCCAGCAAGCCTCCTGCTGGAAGGCACTCAGCTTTCTTGCTACAAGGGCCAGCAAGCCTGCTACTCTGTCTCATATGGGTCTCAGTGCTGCTCCCGCTGTCTCTACCACTTCAGCACAGGGTTCTCAGGTCGAAGGATGCACTTGTGCTTCTCTTTCTTGGTGGTGAGATCCCCTTTTCCATATCTGAGAGGGCTCATTTTAAGCCTAGCAGAATGACAAAGTGACCATATTAGAGTTCCATACACCTTATTTCCTTGGTCTCACCTCCACAAGGATGCCATGTACTTTATTTACATTACTAGCAAGCTATCCAATCAATCCCCTTGGTGAACCACAAGCACCTCACACTTACACAGTTCTACCCAATAATCTGGTGGCAGTCACAAAGACCATGGCTAGAAAAACCATACCAAGTAATTCACTGCACTACACCTAGTATCATTTAATTGTGGCAATTTGGCATTTTCTAACTGCTTTGGTGACATTTGACTAACTAGAAGTCTGGCAGTTCAAACCCACCAGCCACTGGGAAGGAAGACAGAGCAATCTACTTCAGCAGAGATACTGCCTCGGAAACAAACCCAAAGGGGTGTGTCTATGAGTTGAAACCAACTCGACAGCAGTGAGTTTTTGAGTTAAGACAATGAAGAGGCATAAAATGTGATCACTTATAAAAGTTCTAAAATGATGATAAATCACCCGTTTCTTGGCTCCTGATAACATACCAATTTTTTTCCCATTTCACATAGAAAAGTGAAGACCAGCAAATTGATAATGCAGTAGGCAAAAAAGAAAAATAGCCCTTTCTCATTTTCTAAAACATGTGAATTGTTAAAAGATAACAGGTGGTTAAAAATAATCACTCCCACAGTAGAGACTCTTGGTGCTGCTTAGTATCTAATGAACATGCACAGAAAGCATGGTTAAGCTAGCTGGATCCAGGAGAGGTGACAAGTAAAAGGAAATCATCTAGAGTATAGCAACCCCCATGTAAATGTACCATGGCACCTTGTGATAAGTAAGTGAACACTGAAATGTAGAGAGTCAGTGATATGTTTCCAAGGTGTCCCCAGTGGAACTCTTCAAGACTACATAGAAGCGGGCAGATAGGAAAGGATGGCATTTCATGCTGAGAATGGTTGGAGGGAGTGGAGTAGCGATGTGGGAAATACAACCAAAAAATCCACTTGAAGTAGGGTTATCAGCTCACAGCAGGTATGTGCTTAGGCCCCTGAATCCTGGAAAGGTTTTACTGCACTTCTAAGATGTTAGAATCTGGGAGGAAAGGTAAGCATGTTTTCCTTAAAGGTATGGGTGAGATAAGTCCATTTTAAGCGTCCTGAAACTGACACCCAAGATGTATAATTTCCACTGTGGTAGGAGTGCTTGGATATGTTAATAGCTAATGTAATTAAAAAGTTTTGCATAATGTGTGATAAATCTTTTACATAAATCTTAATCCTTTGAGCTAATAACCACTGTAATCCCCATTTTACAGAAGTGTAAACTGAAGTCTAGATGTGTAGTCTGCACAAGATCATAATGCAGGAAAGGATAAATTGGTAGTGTTGACCCACATAACCAGTTATACTGGGAAGTTTGTTGAAAGTTTATGATGAATTCTATAGGCCTAAGATGCTGTTTGACAATCACAAAAGCACTATACAATTTAAATAGGTTGGGATCTTCTAAATTACAGCTCAATTTTATAATTACAGGAACCAGGATTCTTGGTTAATGAAACACCTAGAGCATTAGAATTTTAGTGATTATCAAAGGGAATTGATTCCAGTGTCTAGGTATCTTGCATGTGTAGAAGATTAAATGGTAATCATATTTCACTTCCTTGAACTCCTTTTCTGTACTCCACTTTTAGCTACAAATCAATTTAACTTCAGTATAATCAGTAAGAGAGAATCCTTTCTAAAATTAATGACACTAGCTCAGACTCAAAATGGAAGCTATTTTTCATGGAAAAAAATATAAAAGCTATGACCTTGAGGACTTTCTGCCTTTCAAGCCAAAGGTTCTTTGTGAAGTAATTTAGGAAGATGGCAGGAGAAAGAAAACCCAGTGTTAAGATTTCAGAACAAC